CTTATTCGCTGGAGAGGAACTTTTCATAGGAGTGTTTGTAGACATTCGAAAGCTGAGATTTCAGGCTACAGACCCACGTCGCCGGTTTCGAAAGAGCCTTTTCTTGCGTTACTACAGGAGCTGATTTCTGAGTTGCAGACGCGCAATTTCTCGTCAGACTGAATTTTACACCGTTATAAAAAGGTGTTTTAAAAAATCGGCGACGTGGGGCTGTAGCCTGAAGTCTGAGCTTTCGAACGGTTACTAACACTCTTATGAAAGTTCCTCTCCAGCGAATAAGATTGGTTTTCATTTGCCCGCTTATAACCGCAAAGTACCCTACAGAGAATATCAATGACTGCGAGCTTTATATAACTTCGGTGAAAACGACGAATCGAAGGCTCAGAATCAATAGTATTTTAATGCATTTCGCATTGTTATGATGTTTTCTATACCTAGAGAATTGAGTGCTGAGCAAAAACGAGGCCTCAGGCGGGAATCGAACCCGCGTTTCGTCCTATCCGCGGACGCGTGCTCTACACACTACACCACCGAGGCACGTTTGCACGTCAGCTGGGTTTATAAAGCGAAATCGCATACCCGACCAAACCTGTCAAAGGTTGGTGGCTGATAGCTAACATTGAGATGTTGAAGAATGATGGTGGCGCAAACGTGCCTCGGTGGTGTACGTGGTAGAGCACGCGTCCGCGGATAGGATGAAACGCGGGTTCGATTCCCGCCTGAGGACGCTTCTCACCACTCAATTCTCGAAGGCTCAGTATCAGGAAAACACATCAAGAAAGCTTCTAAGCAATTCTCAGCAGGTTGACTCGTAATTTTTTCTTTAGGAACTTTTCAAAACAAAACTGGAGTTGAGATCCATGTATAACACTAGTCGATCTCTGTGGAAGTTGTGATCCTGCCAGTTCTTAAAGAATTTTTGTGATCGATTTCTTCGAAATATGATGGCACGCCAGGATATCGAAAATAAGGTGGGCCGGACACGTGATGCGTTTCAACGACAACCGATGGACGAGAGCCGTTACCGACTGGATTCCTCGGGACGTCAAGCTCTCTAAAGGAAGACCACTGACCCGTTGGTCCGATTTCTTCACGAAAGCGATAGAAGAAAGATATGATGCTCAGCGAATCCTAGAGCGAGGAGGACCCACTGGGCTACTCTTGCACGCGATAGGGAAAAATGGAAGAGTTGCTGGTACCCGCTCGAGTCACTCGACGCTCAACGGGACGACAGGTGATACGGGTGATGAGGGCACGAGAGTTCTGCAAAAGGTGTAACGACTAAAACCACTTAGTTCCTGTAGAAACGAAGCGATTAAAGGCGTACATCCAGCAAAGAAACACTTCAAAAGCTTCTATTGCGTTGGCAAGAAATTTTCCGGACTTTTTCGTTTTTCTTGACTATTTCTCAGGCATTTAGTTTCGCCATTACTATCGTTTAGAGCAGCTTCTTGCGGTTATTTTAATATATAACACTTATACATAAGCTCTGAATGGAATGTCTCGAGAGCAAAAACGATTGTCGATGCTAGACGAGTCGTCGCGTGCCAAGCAGCACTTGAAGCCAAGCGATACTCGTGTAGCATCAACAATCGTCTTTGCTTCTTAGCAGCTTCCCTCCTTCGGAATCGCTTTGCTCTTTTCTTAGCTGTTTGCTCTGCTTCGATTCGTTCAGGTTCACTCCTATGAGCTCTATACTATTCATCGAGTTCCTCCTCTGCTACTTTGGCTACGTAGTCTAAACGATTTTGCTCCTTCTTACGGTTGATTCGATCTCGCGCTCATGGCTCAGCAAGCCATCCATCCCTCCGGGTCGGTAAATTGGTACCAGACTGGTCTCAGACTTGTCTGGGAGGATAAGCAGCACTGACTCGGTTCAGCGGGAGGCCACCGCGAGTCATTGTAAAGGCCAGATATGCATTCAATCACCTCAAACGAATTGAAAATTGAAGTCGAATGCATGGCGCATCCCTCAGGGATTGATCAACGCCGAGAGCTTATCCTTTATCCATTTACGGTTGATACGGTTTAGGTGGTATTCAGCGCATCCTGCAGCTGCAGACGACCCGACCACATTTCGCACTAACTCCAGTGGAGGAAGAGGAGGCTTCGCTTCAGCACGACGAGCTGGCATGGGGGCTGGTTCGTGAATAATTTGCTGAAGTCGTTCCAGGCGCATTCGAATCACATCTGTTGCTGTATGAGCTCGTCGTTCCTCTTCAACTATCGGATCATCTCTAGGCATCTCTCAAACTTGGTAGATGAATCGTCTTTGCTTCTCAGCAGCTTCGTTTCTTCGTAATCGCTTCGCTCTTTTCTTAGCTGTTTGCTCTGCTTCGATTCGTTCAGATTCACTTCTATGAGCTCTAGACTCTTCATCGAGTTCCTCCTTCTCTGCTACTTTGGCTACGTAATCTAAACGATTTTGCTCCTTCTTAGGGTTGATACGGGAGGGCGAAGAGGCTCTTTTCAGAACGACGAACTGGCGTGTGATCTGGTTCGTTAATATTTTGCTGTAGTCGTTCAGGCGCATTCGAATCAACTGTGTTGCTGTATGAGCTCGTCGTTCCTCTTCAACGATCGGATCATCTCTAGACATCTCTTAAACTTGGGTAAATACACCGTCTTAGCTTTCGGAACACTTCAATTTGGAGATAAATGTACGAGTACTCGTTCTTTTCGGTATAAGGAGACAGATGAAAGCCGATCTCATTCGCCGGTGCGAGACTTTCCATAGTAGTGTTAGTAACCATTCGAAAGCTGAGATTTCTGGCTACAATCACAGGTGGCAGGCTATCGAATAAAGCTTTTTTGACGTCGTTAAACGGACAAAGGATGAAGCCCTCGGCGTTGATCAATCCCTGAGGGACAGCGCATGCATTCGTCTTCAGATTTCTAACTTCGTTTGAGGTGATTGAATGCATATCTGGCCTTACAATGACTCGAGGTGGCCTGCCGCTGAACCGAGTCAGTGCTGCTTATCCTCCAGACAAGTCTGAGACCAGTCTGGTACCAATCTAGCGACCCCGGAGGGATGGATGGCCTGGTGAGCCATGAGCGCAGATCGAACCACTGACCTCGTGTGCGACGCAGAGCACCTCTAACCACTATGCCACATGCGCTCGATTGACGTCGTACGGAGGGAAATTCCTCGCGCTGCAGACGCGCATATTTCTCGCCGGACAGAGCTCTCTCTTTGACCTACAGTAGCCATTCGATAGTGTGAACGCTGCTCCAGAAATTTAAGCTCTCGAATGGTTACTAACACTCACATGAGAGTTCCTGTCAAGCAAATGAGGTCGATTTTTCCATCGTTCCTTCCCTTATGGTCGAAAAGGACCCAAGTGTTATATATCGAAATGACCGCAAGAAGCTGCTCTATACGATAGTGTAGGCGAGAACTCGAATGGTAAAAAATAATCAAGAAAAACGAAGAAGTTCGGAAAATTTCCTGTCAAACGAGTCGTAGTTTTTCCTTCTTTGAAAGAAGCTATTTCAAAATACTCTTGAAAAATAAAGACACCTACCCTCAAGTGAAATTAAGGAGACCAGCGGCCAAAGCGCATATATAAAATTGGAATTGAAACCCATGCATAATGGTAGATCTACGACAAAGCTTAAAAATCAATAATCAGCCGATGCTAATTTTATTTCGGATGATTCTGCAAAATCGCGTCAAATAGCATGTTTCGTCAACCGTACAAATATCACGACATGAAAATACCGCCAAGTAAATTTGAGGAAACGGACCAAAACTACAGAGTAGCCAGAAGACTCGAATGCAATTTCCCATTGCTATTTCTGCAACATCGCGTCGAATAGCGTGTTTCGTCCGCAGTACATCGTTTCACTGTCGATTTGAAAATTTCACCTGATAATAATCTATCTACCTACTTGCATATTTATTATTATTTGTGATAGCTCTATAAACAAAACTAAAGTAAAAAGAGTGCAGTGCAAAACGAGCCTCGGTGGTGCAACTGTTAGCATACGCTCCCGGAAAGAGCGAGATTTGTGTTCGAATCCCGGCTGAGGCAAATGTTTTTGCACACCATTCCACATTATTGGGTATACAATTGAAATAATCAGATGAATAATTGGTCAAAACTTAGTAAAAATCTATGTTTTTGAATAAAATTTTTTACAAATTCAAATTTGAATAATATATTGCGGACGAAACACGTTATTAGACGGCATCATTTGAGCAGCCTGTTGCCCCCGGGGCTTCATCTGTTCACTTTCTTTTCAGATTATAATTATCTACAGGTCTACTATAATTGGAGAGCGCATGTGGCGCAGTGGTTAGAGGTGCTCTGCGTCGCACACGATGTCAATGGTTCGATCTCGCGCCATGCTCACCAAACCATCCATCCCTCCGGGGTCGGTAAATTGGTACCAGACTGGTTTTAGACCTGTCTGGGAGGATAAGCAGCACTGACTCGGTTCAGCGGGAGGCCACCGCGAGTCAATGTAAAGGCCAAATATGCATTCGATCACCTCAAACGAAATAAAAGTTGAAGCCGAATGCATGGCGCTTCCCTCAGGGACTGATCAACGTCGAAAGCTTTATCCTTTATCGTTTCTATTGTACTATAATTGAAGGGCAGGGAAGCGCGGGAGCGAATATAAAGACGAGTTTTGTAGACATCGTGACTTCACGACATTTCCATGCTAAAAACACGCCATCCTGTCGGATCTGGCAAGTTAGGCAACGTTGGGCCTGGTTAGTACTTGGATCGAAGGCGGCCCAGGAAGTGCAGATGTCGCGGGTTTCTATACGATAGTGAGAGGAGGGAACGAATGGGAAATGTGCCGTGGTGGTCTTCACAAGTCGTGAAGTCGGACTGTCCAGGCGTTCACGTAGGTAAGTGATCACATATATCTAATATCTGTCAGCATAACTGAGTTCCAAGTCGATATCGACTACCTGGGCCAAGTCGCTGACGGTTGGCTTCGACAGATCGGAGTGCTGTGACGAAGAAAGAATGGTGGCAAAACGCGCGTCGGTAGTGCAGTTGTTTAGCACGCACTCCCGGAGAGGGTGAAGTGCGGGTTCGATTGCCGGCTAGCGCGAAAAGGTTTCAGTCAGCATCAATCAATATGATTGGGTATATCCGTAACATTATGCCACTGCTAAAAGCGATCAAACAAAAAAGAATTTGGTACTTGTCTATTATGAGACGACAAATGAAAAGCCGATCTTATTCGTTGAACAGGAATTTTTCATAGCATTGTTAGCATTGATTAGAAAGCTTAAATCACTGGCTGCAGTTACTCATGGCCGGGTTTTCAAACAGCCTTTTACGACGTTGTAAAATCCAAAATAATTTTTTTTTCACATTTGCGTTCGCCTTTATTTTCATCGCACGTATAATTCGCTGGAAGCGCGAAAAGCATATGATCGTGTAGAGGAAATTTTACAGTATCTGAGTGAGTCGTTTCATCTAAAGTTTCTTCCAAAATGGAGGAAAATTTTCCTAATTGTATAACAAATTGCACCCCACATATCCGAAACGCTAGGCCATCGATCAATCACCCCGCCCCAGCCCGCAAATTAGCCGAGGTGCAATACCAAACTCGATATTATTTTTCCCGCTACACTGCAGTGAAGCGGTCTTTTCAGGAAATAAGCACTGCTTTGGAATCATTGAAACTTATACTGCCGGATGATTACCATTGGTTCAAAGAAAGAGCTCAATCCGACGAGAATTATGCGCGAGTGAATCACAATTTCATTCTTGAATTTGTAGCGTTACAAAAGGGTATTATGAAAGACCGGCCACGTGCAGCGCTAGCTCGAGACTCAAGCTTTCGAATGTTTACTGATACTCCTATGGAAAGTTCTGTCTAGCGAATGAGATCTGTTTTTCATTGTCTCCTCATGATTATTAGGTCTCCAACTAAGTTTCCGAACTTGATTCAGGGAACAAAAATTTTTCCACAAGAAGGAATTTTTCTTTCACCTATTTTCTGCATAAATTGCTTGCGCATCGTTTGGTACATTTTTTCACATACTTGTCCACCAATGGAATTATCACGGGAATTCATTCGTCACTTCCTGCTTTACAAGTTTCAATTAGGGCACAATTTTCAAACTGCATCTGACAGCATCAATCGTGCAAAAGGCCGCCAAATTGTGGGTACAACTACGGCGCATGAATGGTTACAAAGGTTCGCAATGGCGATACTGATTTGGTCGTTCAGTCAACATCCGGGAAAACGGCGTAAATTTGATCGAGAAGCAATCATTGAAGCGATTTATGAAGATCCGACTTTGTCAACCGGTTGTATGGCCGATGATTTCCAATGTTCAGACAAGCACATCTGGATGATTTTGAAGCACATGTATCATGCGTCGTATTCACCAGATCTGTCTCCGACCGATTTCCCTTTCTTCAAATCATTGGAGCACTGGTTCGACAAGAAGAAGTTTCGAGACATCAACCAATTGCGTAGAGAATTAACTGGTTGGTTTGCATCAAAGATTAATGAGTTCTATAAGCGCGGAATTGATTTGTTGCCGGAGCGTTGGCAGAATTGTATCCAGATAAACGGAGAGTATTTCAATTATTGTTATTTAATACTTCCGATTACTTGGAAAGGTAAATTTTTGGAGTTTTGGAATAAGTTCGGAAACTTATTTGGAGAGATACTAAGAAGTACCAAGAACTTGTTGAACACGTAGAATTAAGTGGTTTAGTAGTCGGTATGTCAAAGTCAAACTCTGAGAAGACTCATATTTCTAGGATGTCACTAAAGTCGTATGAAAAGTCTATTTGAATTTATTACTTTTACTGTCTTCAGCAGTTATATGATACTTTATAGATCACTAAAGATTATAGAATGATTAGTAAAAATTTGAGCTCAAACGGGAGTCGAACCCGCGTTTCACCCATACCGTGGGAGCTTGCTACCGCTAGACCACCGAGGGCACCGCTTTTTCTCAGTATTTCTTTGATATACCCTGAAGTGGTTGTCGTTTAGGCATTTCATAATGACCTCATTTTCCATCTACAATGCGATTCTATGGGAATATCAAGTACTGTAAAAACATTGACAGCATCATCAACCAATATCAGTGCTTGGCCCTTTCGAATCTTGGACCCACTTCCTCTGTATCTCCAACGCTTTGAGGGCCCTCGTTGATAGGCAGGAGGCGACGTGCCGTCACTTACGCGACGGTCAGACAAGCGGATTTTCGTGTCTGTGTATGCGTGTCTGGCCCTCTGCCTGCTTTCCCACAACACGCATCAACACTATTGTAGTAGCTGAGTGAGGTTTAACGTCGCACGATGCGCATCAGAATGACTCTCATGGTTCTCAAAACTATTAGCCCTCAGCGTGGCAACGCTGGACGACTTGCTCCGCCTTCTCTGCAACTCTAATTCCCAGTGTGGGAACGTTTTGAATCTTGAAATGTATTTTAATTGTATTATTGTTGTTAATCCTATGTTATGATATACGAAATTATATCATGTCTTATAATCAAGAAAATTACTGCAATGATAAGTTGAGGGAATGCAATAATACATGCAATGCGTTCCCACGTTGGAGTTGGAGATGCAAAGGAGCTGGGTCCGCGATGCCGAAAGAGTTAGACTTAGGGTGTTGTAGACTACGCATGCTACAAATGAAGCAGAATTCATGAAGCATTATTGATCAACATCAGGAGCTTTATCTTTAGCATTATGGAGATCACGTCGGTGGTAAAGGCAAACATATTTCAACTCTAAGTGCGTTTAGCATTTTCATGTCTCTTCAATTTGAATTCACAGTTTTTAAGAACTTGCTTGAACTACTGAATTATTTAGCTTGATGACTGGAAATGTTTAGAAGATTAATGATGGTGATGAAGTACGGCGTAGTGACTGCGCTTTAGTCCTCAAATGCCTAGCCAGTTGACATCCGCGGCCCGACACTGGACACGTCCGCCAGCGTGGGAACGACTCCACCTTCTCCGCCCCAATTGTTCCCCAACTAGAGTACCACTTTTCGTCGCAAGAGCGCAAGAGCATTATTCTAAAACTTTGCTGAGGTCTTGCAGCGGAAAGTAGTACTGTAGTCGGCGACCAATTGGGCGGAGAAGGTGGAGTCGTTCCCACGCTGACGAAGACGCCCAGCGTGGATTCGCGGAACCGTTAAGTACGCGCTCGAATCCGAGTGATAACTTCACGTTTCAATAACAGTAAATTGAGTTATCATCTATTGTAGTTATGACAGAAAAGTTCTGATTCAGAGTGTCACATTGTGAGCTTTTGATATTTTTGCAATAACTTGGGTGTTCAAAAAATGCTCATTGACTTTCTATTTGTGCAAAGAACTTCTTTTTCTTTCTTTGTATATCCTCTTATTGATTGATCCTTTTATCAAGTAAAGTGTACCTCAATTTCTCATCATTTTTGAAGCTGTATCGCAGGTTTTCTACAATGGGAACAAAGCGGATTTAGACATAAAGGTTAACTCAGTTTATTTTATTCGGCTCCTCGCTTGCATGCATTGGTTTTCCTCCCACTTGGAGATTTTGTCTTTTTAAAATTTCATTGCGTTTCAATGAGTGGCCCCGTGCTCACCACAAATGGTCGCCAACCTTTGAGGATCAGAAACGGCTAAGTCAAGCAAATCTGGTGGCACTTTGCTGATCTTGAAAGAATAAGCTGCTTGTTTAACTCAAGGCACTGGGCTGCACCAACATCCTATCGGTATTTCAGGCACCTCTGACTACTGCGCTAAAAATTCTGAAAGTCCAACTCTCTCCAAACCTTGGCATGAATCATGAAAATGCAAAATTTCTTCAAACTCTTTTCTTTCATTATTACTTGCACTGGGTTGATACTCCTTCGTTAAAAATTCGATGGCAAACGTTTCAGCGACCTTGCCTTCGTCAGAGGTTAGACGTAGTGATCGTAACCTAGTACGAATTGGAACGCGATGCAGAGAGCTTCCGAAAATATCACTCATGCTAAGGCTCAAGAATTTGTGTTTAGCCAAAAAGCTTTTCGGTTCTTTGCCAAGTTTTGCGCCAGCTACATCAACTTGAAGAACCAGCTGTGTCTGGTGGTTTTAACGTCTGACTTGGTTGATGTGTTGAGTAGCTTTTACTTCAAACTTGGGTAATTAAACCCTTATCAACATAATATTATTATTAGCACGACAGACAGTAACAACAATAACGGCGATTACGGTAATATACGACATGAAGGAACAATATTGTGAGAAAATTTGATAGAGACAAAGTAATGGTTCAGTAAGTTTATGTAGTTATTGAGAACGATAAGATTGCTATGAAGAAGTGGTTCAGTGGGGTCATCTAGTTGACGATACTTTAAGAATGCAATTATAGACGAAACACAAGGCCTTTGCCATGAGCGTGAGAAACGTGAGCTATAGTGGAAGACGATGAGCTACGAGTAAGGAATGCGTACTACAATAATTACACAATAGATCCACTTAGCACTCAGACAACAGTTGAGAGAACCAAAGACTATAGTATAGAACAATGCGCCCCTTCATCTAACCAGAGCCACATAGAAGAGCCACATAGAATAGTGATGCATTCCATACTATGCAACGACAGGAATGTGAACGAGCTGCTGAGCCATGAGTGAGGAACACGAATAATAATGATGCGATAGATCCGCACAGCAACTAGACAACTGACATGTGATCAAGAGTCAGAAGAACCAGAAATAAGGTAAAAAATCACTGACCGATGAGAACAATTGATAAGCAAAAGAACCGACGTCCACAACAGCAACAAAGAAGATGGTAAGACGACGAAGATGGACCAACCATTCTTTGCCACCGCCTGCTGGTGAATGCCGGTCGGCGGTTGGCTGTCGCTTGGCTCATCGAGAATAGGTGTGCTGCGTCGACGAGGCGTCCGCATCCCGACGGCCTGTCGATTGACTGATAGAGTTGATTGAGTCGACTTTGTCGACACTCCCCTCCAGCTTGGTAGTGCGGGCCATGCCAGATTTTGCAGTACAGCTGCTGACAATGACAAACCGGATTGCGACGAACAGATTACATGAGAAATTTGGAGAGAAATCGTGTGAAACAAATGGTTAACCGTG